CAGGCAGGCTCAATATAGATGTTATCTTTTTTACACCCTTATGGCCTTCTGGTAAAAGTACTAGCATAGTAGGTATATGAATTGGTTCAAACTCTGGCTTTGTAGTCTGTTACTAGAGATAGTCTTTGGAAAGTAAAGTGACTCCTTTGTGACAAAGCTGTCTTAACTAGAACATATTTTCTTCTTAGACTGTCTCACTATAAGATTAGCTTGAGGTCAAATAAAATTTATATATATATGTATATATATATATATATTTTTTATACATACCCACACACACACCCCTAAGAAGTTTAAAAAAATGTGTTGTCATAAAGTGCAAGGTGTATTGCTATTTATCCTTCATTTTAAAATCCAGAACAATAATATAACTCTGTAAATAAGATTTTATATTTCTCAATGCCAGAAACTAAAATTTTTCCTCCTTGAGAAATAAATAACACTTGGAAGAATCCAGATTGGAAAAAAAGAGTTTTTTTTGACAGCTTTATGAAAGCTTAATCCTATCACAACTCTAAAATACATCAAATATATACAGATTATGCATCATCCTATCACTTAAAGAGAAAAACTATAAGAATATGACTCATATCTTTGTCAATCTCATGATGAAAAATTAAGGTAAGAGAGAAAAAATATAAAACTAAAGAATTACTTAAAATCAACATAGAAGCTTGCCATCATTTCAAAATAAGAAAAGCTAATGAGAATCACAGTTGAGTCACATCACTAATTTTCCTAAATACAGACAAAAGTCGAATAGTAATTAATTCTAGCATTTCTTTGCTAACAACTTTGCAGTTGAAATCATCAGAATTTTATCTTTAGCATGTTTAAGATTATTATATTAACCCAATGTAAACTCTTACAATGCCTTTTTAGGGCTTCATGATCCTGGAAGAGAAAACGTACAAAAATATTTAAACATTGTTGAACCAAACACAGAATATGATATTATTTAGTACACTTAAATTTAGTGAACTTTTATTAAGTACCTACTTTATAAGTGGAAAATCCTGCAGAGCCTACTAGGTTTAGTGTCACATTTTCAATGTATTTAAATAAACTAAACAACTCCATTTTACATACCAAGCTACTTTTACATGCACTGCTCATTTTAAATACCTAAGAGTCCACAAATAAATCAGCCACACGGAATTCATATTTAACTTAAAAAAGAACAACTTTTTAAAAATCATTACTAGGGCATAATATCAATTCTATTTGTGATTTTTACAGCTTTTTTTTTACAGAAAAATATTAATCAATTGGTCCTTTCTAACAAAGTTTAAAAAGTCAAAAACAGTCTATAATATTCTATTATCATTTCACCAAGGTGATAATACATGAGTACTTGATCCATTCTATTAGTACTCCCTATTGTCATCTGAAATTTAAATGACTCATTTCAGAATCTGAATATTTGCGGATTATATTGCACAGGGACTGACTTTTTAAAGGGCTGATTCTTTTACACAGTTTCTAATGTAGCTGAATTAAACTAATAATCACAATGACTAAAATATATTTATCTTTTAGAAAATTTAGAGATGGACTAATTTCGTATTTTGGTTATTACTTTTCATTATATTGAACATATCCTCCAAACCAAAATATCCTTATCCATTAACTACTGGAAAAATATAAGAAAACAGCCGGCTTTTGGGTTGTCTCAAATGTTTTGTGATGAACATATCCAATTTAACTAACATTTTTGTTTGTAAAGATAATTATTTTTTAATCTACCTATGATACAATAGTGTGACATTTTAATTAAATAAATTTGCCTATATTAAATGTATTTTTTAAATTCCCATTCTGTCATACTTCATATTTTGGATAGATTGAAATAAAAAAGAGTATACTTTTAATTAGATTTTGAAATTTGATTACAAAGGCTATTATACTCATTTTTTTGTTATTGTAATAGGTCATAATTTTATATTATCTGTATTTCATATAATTTTAGTTTAATATTCATCAAAGTGTGATTTTCCAACAATAGAATAATTTGAATAAACTATAAGCCAAAGTTATTCCCTTCTCAGGAACGTGGGATTTATACCAAAAACTATAAGTTTATCAGGTTTAGACTTGTGAGTATGTAAACTCTATACACAGAATAGTTTATGTTATCAAAGTATTCTTAGAGCACTAACTTAATTTTGAGGCAGATGAATCAGCATTAAATAATCTGTCCCCTAGATAACCAATACATTTTATTCTTTGTCTTTTTTGTTTTTGAGTATACATTCCACAACATAATTAAACATATCTTGTTTAATCACCCTTATTCACAGACAGAGTAGATTCTGCAGTTCTACAAGGAGCCACTGTAGAAAAATCATGATTAAAATAAACTTAACCAGCCACATATTATGTCTTTATATTCAATCTAACATGACAAATTTAAAAATCCAGTCCATATTATGGTGAGGAATAAGTTTCATGTTAATTCTCTAGAATATTAAGTTTTAAGGCCTATTTTTACCTTTTTGTACTCAAAGGCATAGAGCTTGATAAATGAGGTTGTCTTATATTTATTGCTTAGATTTTATCTTTAATTAGATTGGAAAATCACGAGTCTGTATGCTCTCGGTCAGTCCATTCAACAAACACCAATCACCTGACCCACACTCTCTGACTATTGATTTTTCTCAAATTCTGCTTAGATTTGACTTAAGGATGTTCAGCATACTCATTTGTCAAAATAATTTTACTTCTTTCTGATAGAAAATGCTTTCTCCTTATTTACAATTTGTTTTTTTAAAATTTAAACATACACAAAATTAATTGTATGTGATTATAAAAAAATTAGATCACTAATACTGTGTTATACTTGGATTCAAAATAAACAAAGTTTACTTGTGTCAGTTTTCTCAATTCTTATATGTTGAAGAACAGCATACTCTATATTTCATATTTGTTCTATTTTTGAATTCTGTATGCTACTTCCTAATAAGTTATCATGTTTACAAATACTTTACCAGTAACATTTTATTTCATATATATTTTTATTACATAAATAATGTAATACTAGTTACAATTATCCCAAATGAGGTTAACAAACAAAAAGGAGGAAAAGAGAACTAGGCTTTTTGTTTACGTTGTTGAAAGTTGCAATACAAACTTTAGAATGTTTAAGGTCTTAATTTGTAAAAATGAAACAAAATGAAACAGATATATCTGCTACTTGTAAGAAAATCTTTCAAAATTTTCTTAATACTTAAAAAGTAGTTACTATTGATAAATACCTTCACATGTATTTGGATTATAGATTATTTTTAAAGCTAGTAAGATTTCTACTGACAGAATCTTAGGCGAGATATAAGAAGAATATTTAAATAAACAAATACTATTTATGTATTAAAAAGAATGCATTACTTAAAACTAATTGCAATGCTGACATCCCTTATACAACTCTGAACATATAACTAATAACTTAGAAATTTTACAAAAGGGACTATCCACTAACCTTGTTCTAACTTATTTGCACTTGTGATTAAAAATAACTCCCTTTTGGTTTAATGCAATATTGATTTTATCATCAAATATGTCATGAGATTTTTTAAAATTAAGTAGTAAACTCATAGAAACTATAGCCTTCCTGAAAAATATATAATTATACACTTTGCAAAAGTGACACATGCTTTAACCTCCTCATGAAACCTCCTCAAAGTTCTCAAAAGAATTAAGAGTTCAAGAGACACCAAAAATTGAGAAAAATTAATCATGTTATCTGTTAGATGAATTAACAGCCAATACATACAAATTAAAATATTTAAGTTGATGAAACAGATGTCCTCCAGACATTTAACAATTCTTAGTTTTCAATTTCACTTGTTTCTTTGTTCAGTACACTTTCTTGCAGTGAAAGAATTTTAAATAAAAATGCATCCAGCTCGATACGATAAAAAGGCTTTACAATTCAGCTCAAACATTTTATTAACTGTGAAACATGCAAACTTTTATGTAGAAACTATTCCTACTTCTTAAATATAGTCATTATTTTAATTTATAAATTTAGAACTGGTAAATTAGCATATAAATGTGAGGAGGTATTTGAAACATGCACTTCCTTCAAGAAGGAAAAGGCAATACAACTGCTATTGAGTGATCATGTTTCAATGCATTTTAAACTAATATGCACAGTTGATTGTATTTGCTTTTTTACATTAAATTATATAGTATCCTCATGAGGGTGAAAGGAACTGTACAACTGCTTTCTTACGGCATTAGGTGAGGTCACCCGTTTAGTTTCATTGTGTGGGATAATAAATAATTCTGGGTTGGTTGGTGAATTCAGGTGGATCAGAGCCTAACATGATTTGGCATCGAGGTAAGGATTCATGGAGTTATATCCACAAGACATATGCATTATAAGATAGTAAGATACATTTACAATCCAGAATATAAGGGCAGGGCAGCCTCAAGTGACATCACCAGATCATCTGCAGTGTCAACCAACCGACTCAAATATGTATCCTCCACACCACCACTCCCCTCTTTTTCTCACTATTAGCAAGCCTTCCATGGCCTTCATCAGTGTAAAAGAGCATGTGTCTTCTTTAAAAGCAAGACCTATGCTTACTCAAGTGAAAAGCAAATAAGAAAAACCAAAGAAACAAAATAAAAAACAAGCTTGAGTACAATTTTCACTAAACTGACATTCAACTGATAGGAATAACACTGAAATGTTAAAGGAGAATTTAACTTGAATGATCTAGACAAGTAATGAAAAAAGAGAGAGAGAAAGGCAGGAAGAAGCAAAGAAAGGGAGGAGAAGAAAGAAAAGAAAAAAATTAAGGAAAAGAAAAGAAATCAGCTAAATATCCCTGAGTTGAAGTCTTGTTAACTCTGATTTGTCCTGAAACCAGGCAACAGTGGGAATATTGAAATTCTTTCTAAAAAAAAAAAATGAAATAATAACAAAGAGGAAGAGGGCTCCATTGCTTGGCTTTAACTCTCTTCTAATCTTTCATAACTTATGTTTTACTTACAGGCATTTGTTACAGCAAAACTGTTGGCTGTCTCGATGTTGTCCACATGAGGTACCAAATTAAAAGGAGCTTCCGACGCATTGGGGCTGGTGTTATGAAGAAAAATTGCTAATCGAAAAGCAGTGTATTCCTGATCTGTGTTTCGGATGAAGAGACCACCTATTAAAACAGCAGGAAAAGCACATTCAGTGTTGCCTCTTGTAAACATTATACACACCCCAAGCACAGTCAAATCTACTGCCATTTACAAGCATATACAATTAAAGAGCTATACCTGCCACATCTAGGGAGACTGCCCTTTGTCCCTAAGGTGCATGCTTAGTATTTAGTCTTTAGAGCAGCTCAGCTTTTTCTTATCCCAATGTGCTATGATCACAATGACCTCTGAGACCATTTAGTGTATGTTCCTTTCTCTCCTTTGCCCTCCCCCTGATTCCCAGCACACTGCTACATCAGCCAGCTCAGGGAATCTCTCTCCAAGATGAATGCAGATGAACGGAAAAGAGATTTACATTAAAATACAGAAATAAAGGGACATAGTGACACACAGGGAAGAGGGAAATCAGAAAGGAGAAATGAACTTTGTTTTCCTGCAGCTCCTGGACTCAGCCTAATTAACTCCGTTTTGTGCACAGACCACGAGAAATGATGCAGTGTTGAGGCTGGGCTTAGCTGGAAGAAATTCAATAGCTGCGTCCCATTAAAAGACAGTAGAGGAGAATAGCAAGAAAAGCCAAGGATGGATAATGTCCCTGGAAATACAGTAGAGGTAGAGAAATAAGGGCTAAAGCTTCAAGAAGAAAACAAAATAAAAGGAGAGAAGCTTCCCGGAAAGGGATCTAACTTTGGAATCTGCTAACCGGTAGCAAGAAAAGGCAGGGAGTGCAGGTGGTAATGTCTTTTTCCTCAAACAGGGTCTTTCTGTAAAAGCAAGAAAGCTGCGGCGTCCAGCATGAGAAGAAGTGGATTTTATTTTTTCTTTTTTAAACAAACTTGACATCACTTTACACTTAAGAGAAAGGAATGAAAATAAATATGATATAAAATGCGACCAAATTCCCCAAAGGTTTTCCCCCAACTTATTTCAAACCTACTTAAGCGTCTATAGCCAAAGGTGGAAATAGGGTTAAGGGCTGAGAATGGATGGTTGGGCTGCCCTGGGTGTATTCCAAAGGCACCTACACTAAAGAGAAGTCTTTCTGGAAAAGAGAGAAAGGAAGACGAGGGTAAGAGAGGGGCAGGGAACTGCTGAAGGTTTCCCTGAATTGCCTATCAGCAACTCATTTAACTCACTTTCGGATATCTGCTACAACCAGCCACAAGCACACCCCAACGGAGCACACCTTACCTATTTGCACGCTGCTCGGAAAGGCTCCCATGGCGAGTCCCCAAAATCCAGAAAATAACAAGACAATCTGTCTGCAAATAATCCTCATCTTCTTTTCTCCTCTCCCTGGCGCGCGCTCTCTCTCTTTCTCTCACACTCTTCCTCAGGGCTGTTCAGAGAAACATTGAAGACGACGGCGCTAAAATTAAAAATTAACAACAAAAATAATAATAATAAAATAAAAAAGAAAGAAAAAAAAGGAAAGAGGTTTGGGGTGGTTTAAGATTATGACTATTTCCCCTTAGCAATCCATTGCGAGCCGCCAGATTTTTCCCGCAGTCTCCATAGCCCTGGGAGAGGTTTTCTGTCCGGCTGCAAATGTTGCACATGCAAAAGATGGTGGTGGAGCGTCTAGTGGCTGCTCGCAGGGATGAGACATGCGCTCTGTCTTTGCCTCACTCGCACTCGCGCTCGCCCCTTGCTTTCTCACATACACACAAACACTGGCGCCGCGGCCGCCGCACGCGCTCCCCAGCTCTCACCCGCCGACATCTCCCCTCAGCCTGCACCAGTCCGGAGCACCGCTTCCCTACTGGCGTCTCCTCCCCAAAGCGCACTCTCTCTACACGCCTCTCGCCCTCCGTTCCGCTGGGCGCTTACCAGAGCGCCCCAGTTTCCCCGACGCTCCGGGGCCAGTCTGAAGAAAGGTTTTCCCTTCTCACCGCTCGCTGACTCCCACCTCTCTTCCTCGGTTCGCAGAGGGACCGACTCTGGGGATGAGCACCCCCAGCGCCCCTCTCTTGGTTTTCCTGGCACCTATGCTTCTCGGCTGCGCTAGGCAGAAAATTGGCCCACAGGCCAGGTCTGTAAGCCCCAGTTAGGGGCTCCAGGGGGTTAGTACCTCCCCATGCTCCCCGGCCCCTGCCGCATCCCTGCAGGTTCGCGAGGAGGACGGGCTACCAACCGCTCCTACAGTCCTGGCTTTCCTGTCAGCCTAGCCCTCTTCTGCCGCTGGGCTGCGCGCGGGGAACTCCGGTCCTCGCTGCAGCAAAGACTTCTCCAGCAAACGGCCCGGGAATCTGGAGAGCCTGACGGGGGAATGGATGAGGTGAAAGGACTCAGCGAGTGGTGTGAGGAGAAAGGTCAGGCAAAGGGCAGCTCCGGGCGGGCGAAAGAGGCCAGGACCAGGAGGAGAGAATTTGGAGGAGGTAAGGATGGGGAGGAGAGCCAGAGAAGTTATAAGGTCCTGGGAAGGGGAGGAGGGGGTAAAAGGTTATTTTAAATAACAAAGTTTAGGGTATTGAACAGGATGAAGGAAAGACTGAGAAATGAAAATTGAAGGAGGCCTCTAATATTCTGTTTGAACGACGTGAGGCAGAGGTAGGAGTAAGAACTGTGTGAAGTGCAAAGTAGGAAAAGTGATTAAAGATCCGGTTGCTTTCTATCCAGTCAGCCATTCCGGAGGACTCTTCTCTCTGTGCTGTGGCCCACTGCAGGAGCAGGAGGGACACAGCACAAAGGCTGACTAAGGGCCAGAAGGGCAGGGCTTGGGGCGGTGGGCACAGGTGTCTGACAGGAAAATAGTGTTTTTCGTGCACGTCTCCCCTCGTCTGGGGCTCTGGAATGCTCACTCCGCTCCGCGCCACCTCCAGGTAGACTTAAGCACTTCATTGATGATGTCAATAGTTGTTTTGACTGGGTAGAAGTGAAAATGAATTATCCTAGAAAGTTTTAGGGTTACAGTCTCACTTCCTCTCCAGAGTCACCATTAAGATTGTCCTTTCATCTGGCTGCCCTGTACTGAGCTTGTGCCACACTCAGAAGCAGTCACTGTGGTGGCTGTCAGTGACTGGTTTCTGATTTCCTCTGTGCGGTTTGAGATTTCCTGATCTAGTTAGTAAATACAATCTCCTAATTCCAGTAAACTGTGTGAGAGTCATTAGAAGGAGAGGTTCTCCTTAAACGTTAGGGAATCTAATGTCTCCCATTAAATTTTTGAAAAAAGATATAGCAAATGCCTATGTTTGCCTGATGTAATATTTGAGAATAGAATGCTTAAGCGGAATTCTTGCAAGGGACTCTCCTGCTAATGGCTTTTTGAAATATGCATTACCTTAACTCATTCAATATTTTTTTTATTTGGTGTCACTGATTACCTGTATTTGTAGTTTGTAGATGACATTTTAAAATTCCTGTTAAAACCTGAGTGCTCTTCTGTTTCCTAAGTTTTCAATTTTACTTTTAAAATTGAATCTTTTAAAAAATGTATCTGCATTCCCATTACATTTCACCACAGATTGTTATGAAAAAAAAAAAAAAAAAACAACAACAACTAATTGTGGCCGTATTTTACAAGTAATACATTTGTTATTTCAGTTTGTGAAGTTTTAGTCTTGCAAGTCAAGTGGGATTTGAAGCATTTTCCCTTTTTTTATTTTAATGTTAAAAAACAAGGCTGTAAATAATAGCATTCTGATTTCTCTTGTAAAAGGATAATAGAATATGACACATAAATTCAAGTTAAATTAAAATTTCAAAGTCCACCAAACTGTTAAATTTATCACTTGCTAGGGAGCTCTTCCTGATGCAGAGGTAATTATTAACATTTATTCTTCTCAAATGGAAAGCTTTGAGTTTTCATATGATGTAATAACATCATTGATATAGATGCAGAACAAGTTTTTTCCACTTAATTGTCATGATAACCCCTGGACTAATATAACCACTGATGATACAACTATATTTTTCCAAAACAGTAATTCAGTTGTTTTTAATTCCTATTTTTCCAAGTAGTTAAAACCCCTATTTTACTTTCTAAACCTAATCTCTCTTTATCTCTATGATATAAATATATATTTATAAATATATGTATCAAATATATTTTCTCTGTATGACACATAGAAATATATCATATATATAGTGTACACATATACATGCATATAGATGTTTATTTATGTCAAATGGTAATATTTTAAAAACCTACCTTATGTGTTTATTTTTCTAGTGTTTGAGATATAAAGGTGAACAAAACAAAATCCCTGATATTCTTGGAAGGCTCTTAATGTTTATGAATGCTCACTAATGTGCCAGGTGTTGTGTAATTTTTAATAAACTTTAGGTATCCTTACATTTGTTAGAAAACCCAACTAAAGATTTAGATTCTTTCTCAAGGTTACATTCTTGGTAAGTGATGAAACCAGAACTAAGGATGGAACTCAAGTTATCTGATTCAGAGACCGGGCTGTCTTTATTAAAGCCCACTGAATTAATGAGTTTAAGGTGCAATGAGAGGTCTGGGAGCTGAAAAGTAAACTGCAAGAATCCATAGCATTCAGAAAGATGGTATGTTCTACGTGAAAGACTCCGGGCTTTCAGAATAATAATTAGCAACTGGTTTCAGATTACAGGCCCTTAATTTCTTAGCTGTATTACCTTGGATATATTTACTTAATGTTTCTTTCCTGATAGGATATATGTAAACTTTCAACACAGTTCTGGTACATAACTGCAACTCTTGTTAATAATGAGTTGCCCCCCAAAATGAGATAAAGGCCCCTGTAGAGGGAAGTGCAAAGTACCATGTGAGCAAAACAGAGTGTCTAACTGTCTTTGAGAGAATTCAGCAGAACTCATGGAGTGAAAAAAAAAAAATGAACTGAATATGTGCTTGTAGGGATTATCAGGTGGAGAAAAGTTACGTCTTTCTAGACACTGCTAAAAGTTTAGTAAAACTAGATTTCAGGGTATATGAGGGGAAGTACTGGAAGTGCGGCTGAAAAGCAAAGCAAGGGATGGGTCTGTACCGTCTGACTCAGAAGTATTGTCTTCATCTCATAGAGACAGAGGAACAATGCATGGTTATAAGTAAGGAGGCAAAATGACCAGATTTGCACTTTGGATTAGAAATCTGATGCTAGGAAACTAACCCATATTTTTTAAAATAAACATTTCATTTTGAATAATTTGTATTTACGTAAATGTTTCTAGTTAACTACAGAGTTCCCCTGTACCCTTCACCCAATTTCAGTTTTCCTTAATGTTGTCATCGTAGATTACTCTGGTACATTTGTCAAAAATAAGAAACTGACACTGGTATGTCACTATTAATTAAATGCCAGACTTTATTTACAGTTTTCCATTAGAGTATTTTTCTGTGCCAGGATCTAGTTCAGGACACCTCATTATATTTAGTTGTCATAGCTTCTTGTTTTGTTTTTTGACAGTTTCATTTTCTTTGTTTTTCATATGACATCAACAGCTTGAAGATTACTGGATAGGCATCTGTAGAATGTCTCTCAATTGGGATTTGCCTGATACTTTTCTCAGGATTAGACTGGGGTTATGGATTTTTAGAAAGAGTGCCATACAGGCGAAATGCTCTTCTCATCACATCTATATCCCCTGACATCAATGGTAACATTAACCTTCATCAGGTGGTTAAAGTGTTTTTGCAAGTTTTATCCACTCTAAATTAGCTGCTTTTTTTTTCCCCCATAGTCTTTTCCTTGGAAGTGAGTCATTAAGTATATTCTACTCTCCAGGAGGGGAGAGTATCTACATAAATTACTTGATATTTTTGTATTGAAGCATTGTCTCTTCTCTCCCACTTAAAAAAAAATTAGTCATTAATTTAAATCAGTATGGGCTCATGCATATTTATATTATTATCTTACTTTCTAATGATTACTTTAAGTACAGGGATACATGTGGTGGTTTGTTACATAGATAAACCTGAGTCACGGGGGTTTGTTGTACAGATCATTTTATCACCCAGGTATTAAGTCTACTACCCATTAGTTATTTTTTCCTGATTGTCTCTTTTCTCACATCCTCTACCCTCTGAAAGGCCCCATTGTGAGTTGTTTCTTTCTCTGTGTCTATGTGTTCTCATCACTTAATTCTTACTTATAGGTAAGAACATGCAGTGTTTGCTTTACCATTCCTGTGTTAGTTTGCTAAGGATCATGGCCTCCAACTCTATCCATGTTCCTGCTAAGGACATGATCTTGTTCTTTTTTTATGGCTGCATAGTATTCCATGGTGTATATGTATCATATTTTCTTTATTCAGTCTATGATTGCTGGCAATTTAGGTTTATTTTGCACTTTGGGTTATAGTCTTTTATTATGTTATTTGTTATTTATTACACTTTTCAAATTTGTCCAGCTTTGGACATGGGGTGCTATTGTATGTGTCCATCCTTTTGTTTTCTGAACATCTCCATGCTTATTGTCACTACAGGAAGCTCTCTATATGCTATCTTTTATATTCCTTGCCTTAGCCTTAGTAAGAGCCTTTTGAGTAAGGAGTCCTGATTCTTTTCATTGCAGAATAATATTTAAAAACCAAGATCTGGCAATGGGCTTGATAACTGTTGCTGAGTTGTCATTGCTTCCAGACTCTCACATAGGACAGTGCTTGGTTATACATATATAACCCCTGTTGGTGTACATACCTATAATTGTTTCTCTATCCATCTATATATATATTAAGTCAAAAATGAGTTGTTACTGATGTCCACAACTC